GGGGTGGGGTCTGTCCTCTGCTTGGACAGCCGCAGGAATGGCTTCATGCTCTAGCAAGGGACGAGCAGGGATGATTACGCAGGCCCGGTCCTGCCACCGTGTGTGCTCTTCCCCCTTCCCCAAGCACAGCCCGTGGTGTGGCAGGGGATGCTCCTCTGGCAATGCCCAGCACGAGTGCTGGGCTGCTCCATCCCCATCACACCAAGGGGAACAGGCCACAGCCCCCGGGGAAACCGGCCAAGCCCGTGTGGAGATGCTTCTACCACCCCAAACGCTCACCCTGAGCGCATTGAAGGTGCCGACGCTGTCCTCGGAGAGGGGGATCAGGTAATGCAAGACACTGTCCAGGAGCTGGACGAACCTGGAGACCGGAGAGGAGCAGCGTGAGGATGTGAGGGGGTCGGCAGATGCACGGACCCCAAAGCACCCATGGCATTTCACTGCAGACAGCCCCAAGGGGCCACGCTGCCTGCACCAGGGTCTCCTCCAGCCCACAGAGGGACCCCGAGGGGAGCACCAGACCAGCACCTTCTGGCCAACACCTTATTTTGTTCCCCTCAAGGAAAAGCTGCAGACGAGGGCAGCAGAAGGGACTCTCTGTGGGTCCAGTGGGCAGTGGGATGGGGGACTTCACTTGACAACCCCGGACGGGGAGCAGCAACCCAAAATCCCTGCCATGGGAGCTGGCAGACTTTAAGCAACTCACATGCACAGCCCTATAGAGGCCAGGGCATGGCCCTTTTCAGGACCCGGGCTTGCTGTGGGGACGCTGCCACCCCGGTGCCGTACCTCTGGATGAGCACAGCCCGCCGGTACAGCACGTCGGCCTCCAGCCCTTCCAGGAGGGGGTAGCGCACCATTCGGGCTGGCTGGAACATGTCGGCGTTGAGGACCAGGTCCCACTCCCAAAAGGACTGGATCTTAATCCCTCCCAGGCGGACGTTGTACCCTTGCTCTGCCGAGAAAGGACAGCGACGCTGCACGCACGGCTGTGGCTGGCAGGGCTCAGATGCTGCAGCTGGGGACAAGGAGACCCCAGCACCTGCGGTGTCCCAAATGAGCCTCGTTCATGGGCTTTTCTTCCCACAGACCCCAAAAAGCAGGGGTTCAGAGAAGGAGACTCCACAACCTCTCTGGGCAGCCTGGGCCATGCTCCAGAACCCTCACACTCACAAACTTTGGCCTCATCTTCAGCTTGAACCTCCTGTGCTCCAGCTTGGGACCACTGCCCCTTGTCCTGCCATTGGCCATCCCAGAGCAGAGCCTGGCTCCTTCCTCCTGACACTGCCCTTTCCCAATGGATCCCCAGGAATGAGGGCACCCCTCAGTCTCCTCTGCTCCAAGCTCCAGAGCCCCAGCTCCCTCAGCCGCTCCTCAGCAGGAGATGCTCCACTCCCTCCATCACTTTGTGGCCCTGCTGGACTCTTTCAAGCAGTTCCTGTCCTTCTGGAGCTGAGGGCCCAGCACTGGACACAAGATTGCAGCTGTGGTGTGAGCAGGGCAGAGCAGAGGGGCAGGAGAACCTCTGTGCCCTACAGAACCTCTCCTGACCGAGGTTTAGGGCTGGCGGCGCAGGCTCACCCCGGCACTCCAGGATGCGGATCTCCAGCACCGGCAGATGGACCTTCATGTCCCGGAGGATGCAGATGTCCTGGTAGCTGTTCCTGCGCACAGCACGGAGGAGATGGCAGAGCCGTGATGCACAGACACCAGCGAGGAGAGGTGCAGGCCACTCCAGCTCCCCAACCAAGGGTGCATCGCTCCCCACGGCCAAAACCCTTCCTGCCTCACCAGGGCTGCAGCAGGAGAGGACCAAGCAGAGAGAAGAGGCTGCCAGAGGCACAGAGACATCCCGAGGAAGGTGGAAGCCACATCCAGAGAAGAGCCCGAAAAGGCCATAAGTTCAAAGGAGAAGAGGAAGGCGAGGTGGCCGAGAGCACATTGCTGCTCCTCATCTCGCACCGGCACAACCATCCTTCAAGCCAAGCTGGTCACGCAGGGGCAATGTGTTTTGAAGGAACTGGGCACTTGTGGAGATGAGTGATTTGGTGGTTTGCTTGTGTTTTTGGCAAGGTCCCATTGAGAACCTATGGGTGCGTGGGGAAAAAACCCACTGCGACTGCCCGGACACAGCGAGGAGTTGGCTCCTGCCACCCGAGGAGAGACCTCGGCAGTTTTGTGGGTGCTTCCTCAAAGACAAACCTCACTGCTCAGCAAAAGCAAGGGCCAACGGGAAAGTTTTGGGGGAAGAGGAGGGGATCTGTGCACCCCTGTGTAAACCCCTGCCTTGAGGAAGAAGCTGCAGAGATGGAGTAAGGAGAGGTGAAGCACCCCAGGATTTCTCAGCTCCAGCACAGCAGAGATGCTCAGAAAGCAGACAGCAGTGGCATCAGCTCCCAGAGGTGAGGAAGAGGAGGAAAGAGCCCCAGAGTCACCCAGCAGGGTCCAGCACAGACGAGGAGCAGCAGTGGAGGTGAAGGTGGGGGATCCACCACACTTGTGGGGACAGACGTGACCTGTGCCCACGGAGCCCCAGCCCACAAAGAGCCATGGTCACTGCCAGGCCACTCAGGGCCAACCCCAGCCCTCAGCTCAGGGTGCAGAGACAGTCGGGGAGCTTGGCCCAAGCCGGACCCAGGCTGCTCCTTGCTCATTACTCACTGGTTAATTAGGACAGTCCTCAGGTGCTGCAGACTGTTGGGTGTCCCGCCATACACGGCCACCCGCCTGGGGATGTAGGAGCTTGCCTGCCCATTCAGCATCAACCACAGCTTCCTGGGGATGAGAAGAGCAATGGGCAGCATTGTCCTTCCCTCCTGAGCTGCCTGGAGATGTCCCAGGGCTGGAGGCAAGGCTGTGTCCTCCTAGGGTGCATCTGGCAGCAGCCGCCCCCCAGCTCAGCCTGGAGAAAGCTGCTTTCATAAGGAAGAAGGTGCTTTGCCCCGCACCCTGCCCGTGGCCGGTGGGAGGGGACACTCGGAGGTCTCACTTGACTACGGAGCCTTTCTTCATCCTGAGTCGCACCCAGTGCTGCCCCGGGGGCCCGTTGCTCTCCCAGAAGGTTTGGGACTGGTTGTCGGTCAGACAGGCCGCGCCGCAGTCCTCCTGCGAGGGTGCAGAGAGCAGAGGGAGGGAGCTGAGCAACCTTGGCCACCCCTGGGATGGGTCCCGCGGGGCCAGAGGAGGCGAGGACCAGGCCAGCCCCTTGGCCAGCCCCAGAAACCCAATGGGTGCCCAAGTCCTCGCAGCTTCACTAGAGCAGCAAAACGCCACCACCAGCCCTCACAGAGGGGCCAGCCACCGCCGGCTGCTCCTCCCCGAGCCGCAGCGACGCTCGCGTGCCTCACGCTGATTTTAGCCCCGCTACGCACCGCCTGCGAGGAGACCTCGACGCTGCTGAGGTGCTCCTTGGTGCAGTCCCTGCGCAGCAGCTGCCTCTCGCTGTGATCGTACAGGAAGCGCCCCAGCTCCATGTCGCACTCGTAGCTCCACCCTGGGGGCACGGACCTGCGGGGAAGCTCCACGTTAACAGGATGGGGAGACCAGGGTGCACCCCAAACCTGCCCAGCAGCACCGTGCGGGTGCCCCGGCTCAGATTGGCTGCAGCATCTCACGGTCACCACGTCGGGATGGTGCCAGGCAGCCGCCCCCATCGCAGGCAGATGGCACAGCTGCACCTCCCCACCACCACCCCGGGTGTTTATGGCCACCCCAGCCCAGTGGGAACAGCCCCACGTGGCTGCTCTGATGCTCCATGGAGCAAAGGCCGTCTTTGCTTGAGCAGCGTCAAACGGTGTCGATGCAAAAGGCATCTTGTGGCACCCATCCTCCCTGCTCCTGGCCCTGCAGGCACATCCAGGCCCCTCTGGGCGTTGCAGCACCGCTTCAGGAGATGCATTCGTACCGAAATTTCTGCACTGCGGCCTCATCCTGCTCTATGAGCTTGGGCTTCTGTCCCAGGTGCATGGAGTAAGTCAGGTCCACCGAGTACGTCAGGTCCACCAGTTGTTCCCAGCTGGAGCAGTCGCACAAGGGAAAAGATGGGTCAGTGCTCGGCATGCCCAAGGATTGCTGCCCTAGCCTGGAGTACAGGCAGCAGCTGCGTGGGACCGGGGGTGACACCCAGGAGCAGCTTTGGGAGGAATGAGAACATCCCTGCAGCCAGGTACAGGCTGGGGCAGAGCAGGGGAATCCACCCCTGCACATGACCTTCCAGCATGAAAGTCAAACACAAGCTGTCCCATCACTACATCATCTCCACGATGCTGCTCAGCCCAAACCTGAGAGTCTCAGAGCCCCCCTAGCATCATCTTTACCCTGCACAGGCGCTGCTATGAGCGAGCAGGATGAGGCTGTGAGGAGACACATCCCTTGGCAGGGATGGGTCCCACCTGCACTACAAGGGGCAAGAGATGCTGTGCTGGACGTGCCCTAGGGATACGGGACGGTTGGGTCACACATCTTCTGTGGGTACCGGCCACGCACACCTCCAGCGCCACAGCCCCATCCCCATCCAGGCTAAGGCCGTACCTGACCACGGGTTTATAATCCACCCCGAGCGTCTGCTGCTGCCTCTGGATCTTCTCCGCGGACTCCACCGGCACCAACTTATCCCCTCCTCCAAACCTCTGCGCCAGGACCCAGCCCTCAGTCAGCCCATGGCAGCTCCGGTGCTCCTCCAGCTGCTCCTGGAAGCACATCCCGGCTCGTCAC